TCCCATGCCTGCCAAGGGTGGGGCAGACACGGATTGGGAGAGGGGTGTGTGAGCAAGTGAGCTCAGAATCCAGCCATTGCCTACAGCCAGGCATGCTGGGTGCAATGGGGTGGGCAGCTCTGGGTGCTAGCACCCTGTGAGGCTGTGGGTGAACCAGGAGTACCACAGGCAGCTTCTACTGTGGGCGCCGAGCAACGTGGTGGCACCCAGAAGCTTGGAGACACCAGGAACCACAGAGCCCCCAAGAGGTTGTCACAGCCCTGGTTTGTGGAGCCCCTAGGTCTGGGCTCCTGGAAGGATTAGAACTCTTCCACAGTGAGCGGGGATAGGGAGGGATGTTTTCAGCACTGTTTGTGTTACATTTCTCTGAGTCCCACCATTTGACAGGTCCCAAGTTCTTGTCCCCTGCCCATAAAGAATGAGGTATGCAGACAGTTGGAGGGTGAGCAAGGTGAAGAGGTGCTTTATTGAGCAGTAGTACAGCTCTCAGGAGACCCAAAGTGGGTAGCTCCTTTCCTCAGGCAGGTCAACCCAATGAGTATGTAGCTCTCAGTAGAGAGGAGACCAGGCAGGAGTGGGTAGCTCCTGTTCATAGGCAAGTTGGCCTGACACCTAGCTGAGTCTGAGATTTTTATGGGCTTCAGAGGGGAGGAAGTGCATGCTGATTCATCCATGGGAGACCATGGTGGGCCTGGAATAAGTACCATAAGTTCTCACTCTGGACTGTGGAACTGGCAACCCAGCCTCCAGGCTTCAGGCCATCCCTGGTTTGAAGGTGGGGTTTCACTGGGGACCTGCACCTTTTTACCCAAGAGCATGTCTGCCTCCTGCTGCTGTTTGTGGCACCCAGGCTGTTGGTGCTAAGGGATGTCTGCAGGCCCATGCCAAGCTGCCCTCAGTACCCCCTCGGCCTCCGTCTGTGCTTCTTGTTGCATAAAGTCCAGAGGGGGCAAAGGCACCAGGGGGCTGGTGTGTTGGTATCACCCCGAGCATGCGAATACACAGCTAGGTCTTGACAGCACCCAAGCTTAGCCAAAGCTTTGCTCCGATCAGGAGCTGTGGGGGAAAGGGAGGTTTCCCAGGCTCCTGAGAGCACAGGAATACTGAAGTCTGCAGCCACATCTGGGTCTGGGAGCACAGGACTCCCACCGTACCAACTTGGAAGTGGTTGGGGTTCCCACCTGTTGCTAGCTTCATGGAGCACACGGACCCTGCCACGCCGCCTCTGCTGTGGCCGGCATTTGTGGCAGCCACTCCAGACGGGCCGCCGCTGCCATCACAGCTATTAGCATCAACCTATAGTTCGAAAAATAGTAATTCCCTAAAATATTAAACATCAAGTTACTACATGATCTATCAGTTACACCCAAGATTATTGAAAACATACATCCACACAAAAGTTTACAGTTCATAGCAGCATTATTTATAATAGCCAAAAAGCAAAAACAACCCCAAAACTAATTGTTTAAACAATTTGTTATGCCCAAGGTAGTATACTTTGAAGACAGACAGACTTACTCCCTGATTTCATTTGGCCTGTAATTCTGGACAACAGAAGAGATAATATATTGTTAAATGAATCTAACACTTTATTTAATTGTTCAAAGAATTCAGAGGGAAAAATCTAATTGTTTCAGACGAGGATATTTGAACAAAAAGGGACAAAATTGGATTGTAGGAACCAGAAAAAGGTTTGATTTTGAACTTAAGCCAATAGCAAAACTAGCCAAAACCTTCCTCCTATATACTGACATTACTTATACTGATATGTATACCTACATATTAATAAACATTTTTTTGTCTCGGATATAGCCATACAATCTACATGTTGTGTCGTGAGTCACGAAAATTGTTTAATGAACAGTGAGTGTCTGTAAGCCTTTGGGTACTTGCATTCAAGAATTGAAAATGAAATTCATTATCTAAATTTGTTTTCCTATAGCTAGTATTTTTAATGAATGGCATAGTCCTTTATCTCACCAGTAGACAGTACCAAAAAACTGTTTTTTCTTTATTTCTCACATTGTCCGTAAATCTGATGAATTTTTATCTTTTATAATTCCTCTCTATTCCCATTACTTATTTCACACTGACTTATTTCTTGCTATTCTAATGACTTCCTAATTGGTTTCTTTCTGTTAGTTTCATCTATTTCATCTTCCACATGCCTCTAAAAGTCTTTCTGTATAGTAGTAGACGTGATGTATTCCCCCTTTGTTAGTTTCCAAAATCATGTTTGCAGAAGTGCTATTCAGTAAGTTTATGCGGTGCATCCAAAATAAGAAAAATAACAAGTTATGGAGTTTGTTCAAGTACAAATGCATCCAATTTAAAATACTCATTTTGAATTACCCTTCAAGTTTTGGGAGTATATTAAAATACCTTTTTAAAAATTGGAGACAGGATTAGGTATTAGTTGCTATTTTAGATTTCCTACTGATCAAAAGTGACAGTTCTTTTTAAATTTTAAATTAAAACATTTTTATTTTGGTCTCTGAAATCCAGAGATTTTAGAACCACTGGCCTCCGGGGTAAGGTCCCTGATACCTTGATGATAATGGCACATGAAATGATTTGATTCTGAAATATCAGATTAATTTCATTTCTTGTGCTAGCTCCAGTTTATTGATTAGATGTCTGTAATATTAGGTACAGAAGGCTTCTGAGGCTAAGTTTGTGCTAAGCTGAAAAATGCCATATTCAATTTACAAAATATTCTCTAGGCAAAGGATGGGCGAAATCCTGAGATAGCCCATTCCCAACTTTTCAGCCTCGCACCTTTTACTTTATTTTCAAAGTTCCTTCTCCAGTGTTAACATGAACTAATACATCCCCTGAATGCATGCAGTATGTTTCTCATAATTGAAACATAATTGGCTGGGTACATTGCCTTATGCCTGTAATCCCAGCACTTTGGGAAGCTGATGCAGGAGGATCACTTGAGCCAAGGAGTTCAAGCTTGAGCAACATAGTGGGACCCCCATCTCTACAAAAAATAAATTAAAAAAATTAATAATTGAAGTATAATAGAAGATCAAGTATATGTCTTAGAAGAAAGCCAGGCCAGATGTGGCTCACACCTGTAATCCTAGCACTTTGAGATGCTTACTAAAGCAGGAGTATTGCTTGAGCCCAGGAACTCAAGCAGCTTGGCAACATAGTGAGACTCTGTCTCTACAGAACAAAAATTAGCCAGCCAGGTTGGCATGGGCCTGTGGTCACAGCTACTCTGGAGGCTGAGGTGGGAAGATCAAGGCAGCAGTGAGCTGTGATTGCGCCTACACTCCAGCCTGGGCAACAGAGTGAGGCCTGTCTCAAAAAGACAAAACCAAAATATCTGGTGGCAAAATGGCTTATACATCTTTTTATGTTGTCTATTTGTAATGTCTTTTTTCATTTACCTACCCTGTGAACTTTAGTTACCACCTTCTTTGACTCTTCTCCTGCATCCTTCAAACATAGGCTTTTTCTGTAAAACTTTCATTGTATCTACTACTATAGTACTTATTTATATTATAATTATTTACTTAGCTGTACTTCAGAGCTTTGATGGAACACATTATTTGGGCTCTTGTGTTTATCATGTGAATTTTAGATTAATGTAGACTGAAATTATGGCCTGTCATGCATTCCATTTTAACTCTTGTTAAACAGAAGAACATTTAAAAGAACTTGGTTTCATTTTAATATTCTTTAGTATAATAAACTGTTTACCACATATTTAACCCATGGTAACATGCTTTAAAAAATTGTTTTTATATCCAGAAAAATTACTTTTGTTTTAGAGGTCCTTACTGTCTCTGAGCCATTTAGATTATATGCCAGATGTATCTTTCTTAGTCTGTCTGTGTCCTGTCTGCATGTATTTGTCCTGGTAAGTACTTTGCCATGATGGAAACAATTTTGTAAAAAGAATAGTACAATTTCAATAATTGTGGTTGAAATATGTTGTCATTTAGACCTAAATATTTAAAGAGACACACTAATCCTTTTTTAGTGCATTGTAGTAAGTGAACCTAACCAATTAAAGAATTGGGGAGAAGTAAAATAGTTTGAATATTATCAGTGATATTTGTGTTATGAGCTTTATTTCATGTACATATATGTTAAAATAGAAAACCATGAGCCAAGTTTTAAAATATGTACTTGTTTTAGTTGTTGATTGATGAAAAAATTTCTGATGTTAGGATTTTTTTTTTCTTTTTTGGCGTACCCTTATTAGTGTTGTATGACTGTATTCTGGAGACTAGGCATCAGAACAAGGATGTTAGTTGAAAAATCTGATTTTCATAGTAGGGTAATTCACAATCTCTTTATAGCTTAGTGTTCTGTCTACCTCTAAGAGGAAACAGGGTTTCTCAAAAGATTGAAATATGAAACAAGTGCAACAAGGATTCCATTTTCAAAAAGAAAAAAAAAACTTGAAATATTAAACCAGGAAAAATAATTACAGTTTTTGGTCTTCAGTGTTTCATAACCAAGTATTTCTATGTAGTTAAAAGGAGAACTTACTCTAAATCAGATTGAGAGCCCAGCAAAGTACAATTATGTATAGTGTATAGTAAATGGACTAACGAAGAGCTACGTAATAGAGGCTGGGCGTAGTGGCTCACATCTGTAATCCCAGCACTTTGGGAGGCAGAGGTGGGTGGATCATGAGGTCAGGAGTTTGTGATCAGTCTGACCAACATGGTGAAACCCTGTCTCTACTAAAAATACAAAAATTAGCCTGGTGTGGTGGCACGCACCTGTAATCCAAGCTACTCAGGAGGCTGAGGAAGGAGAATTGCTTGAACCTGGGAGGTAGAGGATGCAATGAGCCGAGATTGTGCCAGTGTACTCCAGGGCTGGGCAACAGAGCAAGACTCCGTCTCAAAAGAGAAACAACAAACTACACAGTAGAAAAATTGACATTTATGGGAATTTATTAGAGGATTGTGGGTTAAATTTAATACTGAATGCAGCCTTTTATTGTTTAAAAAAATTTTTTGAACTTACAGTCTACATCAGCATCAGCATCTGCATCACCATTTCAATCTACATGGTATAGTGAATCTGAGATAACTCAGGGAGCACGCTCAAGATCGCAGAACCAGCAACGGGATCATGATTCAAAAAGACCTAAACTTTCTTGTACAAATTGTACTACCTCAGCTGGGAGAAATGTTGGAAATGGTTTAAATGCGGTATCAGGTAAGAATTAAGTTTCCGTAGGTATTTTAAGCCTGCTTTTTCCCCAGGTATAACAGTTGTTCTTAGTTTCGGAATGAAGAAAGTAGATTTTATATGGAGACAGTGGCTCAGAAATGTAGTGGAATTTCCAAAATCTTACTTTAAATTAGTGCTGGAACTGATATTAACTCTTCTGCATTTTTTGTTGTATATTTGATATAGATATCCTACATAAACAGGGTATTAGTAGATTTTAATTAGAATAGCTGGTGTTACATGGTAATCAAATTGGTAAATGTGTATATTCTTTTGGTTATTATATTGTTATAAGGAAAGCTAAATCTACTGACATGTATTTAAAATATTGCTTAAGCATGTCTTATGTAAATGATAAACATTGTAGTATGTAATATTTTCAGAAAATATGGAAACACTCCTGGTCATGGTGGCTCACATCTGTAGTCTCAGCACTTTGAGAGGCTAAGGCAGAATGATCACTTGAGGTCAGGAGTTTGACGCCAGCCTAGACGACATAGTGAGACCCTGTTTCTCCCAAAAAAATAAAGAATTAGCTGGGCATGGTGATGCATGCCTGTAGTCCCCAGCCACTTGAGAGGCTGGGGCTGGAGGATCGCTTGGTCCCAGCAGTTTTGAGGTTACTTTGAGCTATGATCATGCCAGTGCACTCCAGCCTGGTAGACAGAGCAAGACTGTCTCTTACAAACAAACAAAAAATATGGAAACTCTTGAGTTAGAAAAAAATGGTGGTATTTTAGTAGGAGTTCTATACAAGGAATTAGAAAGTCACAATTTTAGTCCTCTAGATGTGTGGCGCTGGGCAAGGTCCTAACCACTCTGGGATTTGGATCATCTATCCATAAAGCTGCATGCCTGGTATTGTACTCAGAGACACATATTTTTCACACACATTGAAAAGATCTTTTGTTGAAAGGTCAGGAGGCTCCCGTCCTACTCATACACCTCTTCAAATGAAATGTTAGCTAGTGCCAGTGTTCAAGAGGAGTCAAAGCTTATGATGACACAATTGGAGGTAAAATTCTTGAAATGTTTATGTATTACCAGTTGAAGTGGTGTAAGCAATTCCTGTCTGTTTTGATAAGCTGGACTGCCATGGGAAAGACAGTGCCCATCTGAAGGATATTAAGAATGTCATGATGGCTAAGAACAGACTGACAGTAACTTTGTAGAAAAACACCACTGTGCCAGAGATATTTTTGTTCTCTTCTGCTATGTGAAAACATAAATACACTGGGCCGTTTCTCTTAATAAAGAGGAATTATTAAGGCTACTAGGATTAGGGAAGAAAGAATCAAATATCAAGGTAAATAGTGAAGGAAAGAGGTTGAGACTTAATTTTTACTTTTAAATGAAATAATATCTAATAAAATTTTGATAACTGTAACAATAATTCTTAGAATAAAGAATTCTAGAGTAGAGAATTAACCAACTGTGATAGCAGTAAAAATAATTCTGATGAAACTGTATTATTGACATTTTCCCTTTCCAGATGGCTTTAATTTTGATATTGGCAGTTCTCCAGCATCACTTTCATTGACTTTTTGTGAAATACTCTATTTTTGGAAAGATTTACACTTTTGTACTGTAATCGTTTTGCATAATGTGTAGGTAGATGTTGTGGGAAGTGACTAAGGCATTGGCATCATATATGGGGGTAGATTTTAGTGTTAGGCAGAAAAGACTGTGTTTGGAGTAGGAAATAAGTGATTAGTTCATTTGTGAATAATTTTGTGTTTTACTGAATTTTGTTTCTGATAACAACTATATAACAGTGGATTCTTGTAATAAATAACAGTAAAGTAGGGGTGCATTGGCCAGTAAAGTGGGGGTGCGTTGGCCCAGCACTTTGGGACACTGGGCTGGGTGGATCACTGGAGGTCAGGAGTTTGAGACCAGCCTGGCCAACAGGGTGAAACCCTGTGTCCACTAAATATACAAAAATTAGCTGGGTATGGTGGCACGCACCTGTAGTCCATGCTACTCGGAAGGCTGAGACAAGAGGATCATAAATAACAGTAACCTTCCTCTGTATTACTGAAGACTTTTGATCATCCAGGGCCTTGAAAGCTTTCTCTGAAATAAAACTTAATTTATTTTAAGATTCATCTCGGAGGCATAATCAAGTTCCTAGATCTTCATCAGTGGTACTTGGATCATTTGGAACAGACTTAATGAGAGAGAGGAGAGATTTGGAGAGAAGAACAGATTCTTCTATTAGTAATCTTATGGATTATAGTCACCGAAGTGGTGATTTCACAACTTCATCATGTATGTATAAATTACATTAAGTATAGCTTATTTCATAATGTTCCATTTTTCTCTTTATTACTAAAACAATAGTACAAAGGGAAAAAGTATATCTTATGAAGATTTCAGAATACCTTAATATTTTTTCTAGTATTTTACTGATTTTGACCTTAAAAAATAAATAATTTGAAGTACAGCAGATGAATATGAGTATCTAGATTCCATCTACCTTTACATTGTTTACCTGCATTCTTCCTTTTATGAATGTCTGTTACAAAGTACCATACTAAATCTTAAATCCTCAAATATAATTTGCCTGTAACATGTAGTTTAATAAATAACTACTTCTTATTCTGAAGTAAAAGTTGAAATCACCATTTTAAGGCATAATTTGGAATTACTTCAGTATAACATGAATGTGTCTCTAGTTTTATTAAATTGACCTCAAGACCCACACTTTGTTTTTTGTTTGTTCGTGTGTTTGTTTTAAGGCAGAGTTTTGTTCTTGTTGCCCAGGCTGGAGTGCAATGGCACAATCTTGGCTCACTGCAACCTCCCCTTCCAGATTCAAGCGATCCTTCTGTGTCAGCTTCTCAAGTAGCTGAGATTATAGGCATATGCCACCATGCCCAGCTAATTTTGTATTTTTAGTAGAGACAGGGTTTCACCATGTTGGCCAGATCTTGAACTCCTATCTCAGGTGATCCGCCCGCCTCGGCCTCCTAAAATGTTGGGATTACAGGCGTGAGCCCTGCACACAACCACACTTTGTACCATTGTACATAGCCTTAAACTATCATACTAAGTAACTGAAGAAAAAAGGTGCTGCTAATTGAAGTTGACAAATAAAGTAGGCAGAAATGGAGCTTGATTTACATAGTAGGAAATGCTGTTTTGTTTTTAAAGGTTTTTTGGCCTTGTGTGGTGGCTCACGCCTGTAATTCTAGCACTTTAGGAGGCCAAGGTGGGCGGATCATAAGGTTAGGAGATTGAGGCCAGCCTGGCCAACATGATGAAACCATGTCTCTACTAAAAATACAAAAATTAGCCGGGTGTAGTGGTGTGTGCCCGTAGTCCCAGCTACTCGGGAGGCTGAGGCAGGGGAATCACTTGAATCCGAGAGGCGAAGGTTCTGGTGAGCAGAGCTCGCCTCTGCGCTCCAACCTGGCAACAGAGCAAGACTCCGTCTCAAAAAAAAAAAAAAAAAAGTTTAGGCTATTTTAATTTATCTTATTGGGGCAAAACTTTGCTCTATTTATAACAAATGAAAACATTTTACTTCCTTGGCTTTGGATGGTAGAGCTTTAGTAGACTATCAATAGCTTCTAGGTTTGGGAGTATAAAAGTACAGGATAGAAATAGATTTAGTTCCTAACATTTACCCTTTCATAATGCTTCATGTATTAGCATAGTATTAATTTAGCTCTTACACAAGGTGTATGGGGTAGTTTCTTTGCAAAGGAATCCTATGGTGTTTCTCATCTTATTTGAAGATTTAAACCACCACTTAAGGAATCCTTTCAAAAGTGCAGATGTCACAGACCTATTCTGATTCATAGTTCCTAGCCAATGTTTAAAAGCAAATGTATTTCTGATGAGAAGCCAGGGATAACAACTACTGCTATTAACCTGAAATAAAGAAAAAATTGGAAAAAATTTTAGCTATTAGCAAGACTTATAAAATTACAAAGGTTTAAAACTTTTTAATTTATTGCACAGAGTAAAAAAAATCTCCAAAACAGTCTCCCTTAGGATGATTTTGCCTTTAATCATTTTAAGAGTCATTTACATTGTATTATTTGGCCTGTTTAAAATTGTCTCAACTTAAATACTAGATATTATTGTATCATATCAAATAATTTCTGATCAATGAGTTCAGCTGTTTTAATTTTATCAAGTAATGTTTGCTTTTCATAAGCTCATAATACATTTTTCTTATATATATCTGTAATGTTGACTCTACACAGCACTACTGGATTTTACCAGTAAGAATAGAAAGAGAAATATGTTTATGTTTTTTCTATAATAATAGTATACTCTGTAGTTACAATGTTAACAGTATTCAGTTTGAATCCAGTGCTTTGTTTTGGCACTCAACATAGTTAATAAATGCAAATAATAAGGCTCAAATTATTTAATGTAATTGGTTATCTTTACTTTCTTTCAAAAATAGACGTTCAAGACCGAGTTCCTTCATATTCACAAGGAGCAAGACCAAAAGAAAATTCAGTGAGCACTTTACAGTTGAATACATCATCCACAAACCACCAGTTGCCTTCTGAACATCAGACCATACTAAGTTCTAGGGACTCCAGAAATTCCTTAAGATCAAATTTTTCTTCACGAGAATCAGAATCTTCCCGAAACAATACACAACCTGGATTTTCTTATATTTCAAGTAGAGATGAAACCCCAAACATTAGCAATCCAGAAAGGGTTGTTTCATCTCAAAGACCATTTCAAGAATCTTCTGACAATGAAGGTAGGCGGACAACCAGGAGATTGCTGTCACGCATAGCTTCTAGCATGTCATCTACTTTTTTTTCACGAAGATCTAGTCAGGATTCTTTGAATACAAGATCATTGAGTTCTGAAAATTCTTATGTTTCTCCAAGAATCTTGACAGCTTCACAGTCCCGTAGTAATGTACCGTCGACTTCTGAAGTTCCCGATAATAGGGCATCTGAAGCTTCTCAGGGATTTCGATTTCTTAGGCGAAGATGGGGTTTGTCATCTCTTAGCCACAATCATAGCTCTGAGTCAGATTCAGAAAATTTTAATCAAGAATCTGAAGGTAGAAATACAGGACCATGGTTATCTTCCTCACTTAGAAATAGATGCACACCTTTGTTCTCTAGAAGGAGGCGAGAGGGAAGAGATGAATCTTCAAGGATACCTACCTCTGATACACCATCTAGAGCTCATATTTTTAGAAGAGAATCAAATGAAGTGGTTCACCTTGAAGCACACAGTGATCCCCTTGGAGCTGCTGCCAACAGACCGCAAGCATCTGCGTCAAGCAGTGCCACAGCAGGTGGCTCTACATCAGATTCGACTCAAGGTGGAAGAAATACAGGAATAGCAGGGATTCTTCCTGGTTCCTTATTCCGGTTTGCAGTCCCCCCAGCACTTGGGAGTAATTTGACCGACAATGTCATGATCACTGTAGATATTATTCCTTCAGGTTGGAATTCAGCTGATGGTAAAAGTGATAAAACTAAAAATGCACCTTCAAGAGATCCAGAAAGATTGCAGAAAATAAAAGAGAGGTAAATTTGAATGCCTATCTTAAGCCTATAAATCAAGAATATATTAGAGAAAGAACTCTTCTTTTCTTTCTTTCTTTTTTCTTTTTTTGAGACAGAGTCTTGCTTTGTGGCCCAGGCTGGAGTGCAATGGTGTGATCTCAGCTCACTGCAGCCTCTACCTCCTGGGTTCAAGCAATTCTGTCTCAGCCTCTGGAGTAGCTGGGTATACAGGCACATGCCACCACCACCTAATTTTTGTGTTTTTGGTAGAGATGATTTTCGCCATATTGGTCAGGCTGGTCTTGAACTCCTGGCCTTAGGTGATCCAAACACCCCAGCTTCCCAAAGTGCTGAGATTACAGGCATGAGCCACGGCGCTCGGCCCAGAACTCTTCATTTCTAAATTGACTTCTTATAAAATTGATATCTGAAGTTTCTTTCTTTTACTTTTTTTTATTTTGAGATGGAGTCACACTCTGTTGCCCAGGCTGGAGTGCAGTGGCACAGTCTTGGGCTCACGGCAACCTCTACCTCCCTGGTTCAAGCAATTCTCCTGCGTCAGCCTCCCAAATAGTTTGGATTACGGGCGGCCACTACCACCCCAATTAATTTTTGTATTTTTAGTAGAGGCTGGATTTCATCACATTGGCCAGGCTAGTCTCGATCTCCTAACCTTAAGTTATCCACCTGCCTCCATCTCCCAGTGTTGGGATTACAGGGGTGAGCCACCAGGCCCAGCCTGAGATTTCTTCCCTTAACATTTACATCCATTAAAGTGTTAATGGCTCACTCATAGGTAAACAGATAAGAATTAATAATTTCGGATAGGCAATGTGTGAATTACGTCAGAAAGTAATCTAAAGGTTATTTTAACCAGGTTGGAGTACATATACACAGAAAGACAAAAATCTTAATCTCTTACTTAATTCCTTGGCAGACTAATGCTAAATATGGGGTAGATAAGAGGAACAGATTACCAGTAAATCTGTCTTAGCTGTTACTAAGATGATTTATTAACTAACCATTTATTTATATTTCTTACTGCAAATCTTTTTTTGGAATTTGATGCATGAAATTTTGATGCACAAAATAATCTTTATTTTGTATTTGAAGTCCAAGTATATCCTGACTATTCTTTTTAAATATTTTGTAGAGACAGGTCTTGCTTTACTTCCCAGGCTGGTCTCAGACTCCTGGCTTCAAGCCACCCTCATGCATCAACCTCCAAAAGTGCTGAGATTGCAGGCATGAGCCATCATGCTCACCCAGTTCTTTACATATTAGAATTATTTAACAGAAATGCCAGTGTAGGCCAGGCACGGTGGCTCGTGCCTGTAATCTCCAAACTTTAGGAGGCTGAGGTAGGTGGATCAGGAGGTCAGGAGATTGAGACCATCCTGGCCAACATGGTGAAAACTCATCTCTGTTAAAAATACGAAGATTAGCTGGGCGTGGTGACGTGCGCTTGTAGTCCCTGCTATTCAGGAAGCTGAGGCAGTAGAATCTTTTTAACCTGGGAGGTGGAGGTTGCAGCGAGCTGAGGTTGCATCACTGCACTCCAGCCTGGAGACAGAATGAAACTGTTACTAAAAAAAAATTTAAAAAAGGAAAAAGAAATACCAGTTTAAATTCAGGGCATAGAATCTTTTTATACAAATAAATCTTTATATAGAGTTGAAGGTTGCTTATAAATTACTGGTAAGAGTGAAAAGACCAAAAAAAACAGAGATCTTAGTCCCAGCCTGACTATTTACTTAGCATTAAAATAAAATGAGATAAAGTATTTGAAATACACTTCGAGGAAAAGACTTATATAAAGTTAATGTTGTGGAATATTTTTTTCTTTTTCACAAAGCCTGATAGAACTGTTGGGAAGCATAGTTGTTACTGTTATTTTTAGGATTTTTTGTACTTTAATAAGAAAATACTTTGGGCTACCATACTTCTATTTCTCATTTTATAGGATAGATTTTACTATGTGACTGTTATTTTCCTGCTTTTAAACCTGCCATTTTTCCTTTTTTGTAGAAAGGCTTACTCTACTCTGGTAGTGTTTGCTTTAATGTTTGCCTATTATAGCAGCTTCCTCTAATTGCAGGCTGTCTGCTCTCTGCTAAGGAGTGTAGTAACATATTTTCAGCCCTCAAGGTTAGGTTAATTTGAGTACAGTAGTGTAGGCAGAGGGCAAAGCGTTAGTTTAGTTATCTTCAGAAAGAAATGATTGAGTCAGTACCACTCTGTCTGGTTAATTTAAAAAGCACCATTTGTTGGTTATTTTGTCAGAAAGATAGTGTGTGTTGTGTATATGTTTGTATTCCTGTATTATATCTTTTCTCATACCTAAGGATTTTAAGACATTACACAATTAAGTTAAAAATGGTACAGAAAAATTGAATCCACCAAGTCAATAATTGAAACTCTGAAGGGAAGAAAGTTAAATTTAAAGGTCAAATGTAAATACCATGTTTTCAGTCTTTAAAAATGATTTATGCTTGAGGTCATGTCTGATTAAGACAGGGCATGAAAGTCTCCTAGCAGTTGTGTATCTGTCTCTTTACACAAATCTTTTGCTAAGTTTATTTAGGAATCCATATATTCCAGGTTGTATTTCAGTAACAGTTCAGCATTCTGTATTACAGATTTACTGAGGATGTGCTTCATGCCAACAGTAGAAAAACACAGTAGGAATTTTAACCATTATTATGTAGAACTATGACTCTGCATTTATATTACACAATGGCCTGTTAAATAGAGGACATGAGTTAATGGAAACTGTTACAAGATTGCTGCAGGAAATGGGCGTGGGGGGGTGATGGTGGAGAATTTTAAGATACTTTTTAATTTTTTCTGTGATATAGAAGTCAGTCTAAACATCATTCTGATAATGTAAATGAGAATCTACAAGCCAGTATGTGTTTAATTCATGGAAATAGCCCTAAAATTTGAGGGGAGGCAAGGGGCAAAAGTGGTAAGTTTGTCTTATCTTTATACTGTTGGACTTGAAGTAGTCTGGAATACCTCAGAAATTAAAATCTTTTAGGGGTACTTATAAAGTCATTGAGAAAAATATAGGTCTTAAACTGTCTGCCAATGATAGGTTAACCTATCATTTATTTTCAAATGATTAAGTAATTTTTGTGATGTGATGGAATGAAGGAGAAAGAACTATTAGGGAAGCTCATAAAATACTTGTTACAGTTTTTATTCTCAATGAGAGGATTTTTCATTTTCAGTCAGAGGGTTGCTGATTAATAATAATTGTTATTGTTTTGTTGATATTACTATTTGCTTTTTTCCACCCAGAGACAGTGTGGGTAGAAATATCAAAAAAGAGAGCTTGTAATTATGTGTAACTGAAGTAACCAACCAGGATGAGTTATGATGGATCTGGGAAATGTGCCTTCTTTTCCAGCCTCCTTTTAGAGGACTCAGAAGAAGAAGAAGGTGACTTATGTAGAATTTGTCAAATGGCAGCTGCATCATCATCTAATTTGCTGATAGAGCCATGCAAGTGCACAGGAAGTTTGCAGTATGTCCACCAAGAGTGTATGAAAAAGTGGTTACAGGCCAAAATTAACTCTGGTAAGATTTACCCTTTTGTGTTTTCACAATTTTTCTAAGAGATGCATGTATGTATGCCTTTTGGTTAACAAATTTATAATTTATAGATTGTTGAATTTAGACTTTTAACAAGTGTCTTAATCATTTTTGAAGTCTTAGCAGAAGCATTAAAGAGCATTAGTCTTTCTTTATAATTTTTTAGTAATGTATATTTCATTTCTCAACCATTTACTACTTCACAACATGTATAATACAGCTGTAATTTGTGATCACTGGTATGTCCCTTATATCATGTAAGATCCTTTTGAATCCAGGAAATAGACTCAGCATTTACCAACTGTGTGTCCTTGAGAAAGATTTATTTCTAATGTTGCTATTGTGTCACTTTGCAAATTACGATAATAAGGCCCCTGTGGGGATTTATTTGTTCATTGAGTGCCTATAATAGAGCCAGGCACAGTAGTTCTAGACATTGGTTATAGGATGGTAGAAAGACAAGGCACTTGCTTCTTGCATTGGTATTGGATGTTAAGGAAATGCCTTTCTGAAGTGGGAACATGTAAATTGAGAGCTGAGCTATTCCATAATTAGGGGAGAGCACTCTAGCATAGGGAACAGCAAGTTCAAATACTTTAAGGTGGGAATCAACTTGGTGTATTTGAGGAGCTGAATCATGGGTAGTGTGGCTGGTGTATAATTAGTCTGGGAGAGAATAAAGCTGAGATGAGAAAGATTAGCAGAGGTTAGCTCATGCAAGACTTTTCAAGCAAAGGCCCAAACCTTAGATTTAAGTATGATGGAAAGCTACTAAAGGGAAAGGGGATGAAATGGTCTTACGCATATTTGGCTGCTCTGTAGAGAATGAATTTTTAGGGGGGACAAGAGACCAACCAGGAGTCTATTATTGGAGCACTTGTTAGAGTTGGTGATGATGAACGTGTAGCAGTGGTGATTGTGATGATAGAAATGGATAGATTCTGATAACGTTTTGTAGGTAGATTCTGTAAGACATCGAATTCAGTAGATTGGATGTGATGGAATGAAGGAGAAAGAACTATTAGGGAAGCTCGTATTTTTGCCTTGAGCAGTTAAGTGAATGACGGTTCCTTTTACTGAAATAGGAAGTTGAAAAGGGAACTAAGACTTCTGTTTTGGACATTATATTTGAACTACTTATTAGATAACTATATAGAAATATCATGTAGGCAGTTAGCTAGACAAGCCTGGCATTTCAGGAGAAACACTGATTAGTTTCAGTTATGAGCACATGAGTAACATTTGAGACGTTGGTCAGCTAGAGGAAGAGCAGATAGCAAAGAAATAGGCCCAGGACAGAGCCCTGGGACACTTAACATTTAGTGAGAACAGAGGAGACATAAGGAGCAGCCTTTAATCAGAAAGGAAGAAAACCAAGAAAATGTGTTGTGCAAGCCAAAAGAAGAAAGCTTTAAGGAGTATGTGATCAACCCTGCACTTCCGAGAGGTCAAGTAAGAGGAGAAGAAAGAATAATTGGATTTGATAGCATGGTTGTTCTTGGTAGTTTCAGTCTCTGGAATCGTGGGTTCCTAAGCCTTATTAGATTAGATTGAGAGGAGTAAAGGAGGTAAGAAAGGAGAGACAACAACACAGATTTGACACTTTGAACAAATTTACTACCAAGGAGACTATAGGGAACAGGAATTAGAGTTATATGGGATCACAGAAAGTGTTTTTGTTTTATTTTGAGGTAGTAGATTTTTAGACTTGTTTTTATTTTGAGACTTCTAACAGAAAATAAAATACGAAAAGAGGAGAAAGAAGATGGGATCCAGAGCACAGGTTGAGTGGTTATCCCTTAATAGGAGAAAGGATATATTCCCTTCAGAAGGCTAGTGTTGATATGGGTGTTGATCAGTTTGTTGCTTTAATGGGAAGATTTATGACTTCCTGTGTTAATTGCATCTGTTTTCTTAGGTAAGGTCTTTGACTGATTAGGAGGCAAGTTAGAAGGTTTTGAGGTGTGAGAAAAATAACATTCTAAGGATGCGGATATGTCGTAGGATTTCCAGATTGTATTAGTGTCTGTAAAAGTGATTTTAAAATTAGGTACACATACAATTTTTTTTTAAGCTGTTATCAGATGCTTGGGATACAGGTATGCACTAGAGTTCAATGCTGGTGGGTCTTTTGCCAGGCAAATATGATGAAGGGAGTTAAGGGTATCTATAAGGACATAATTGTGGCAATCACAGCAATTAAAATCAGAAGAAAAGTAAGGACATCACAAAGTGTATAATGAGAAAGTGTAGAGTATCTTTGAATTTTATTGATATTGAACTAAGTAGGCTAAAATAATAAGATTGGTACACAGGAGGAGGGGATGCTTAAAATAGAGATTTAGGGGTAGTGCAGTAAATTGTGACGAAATCAAGGGGGATGAACTTAGAGTGGGTGACTGAGGTTGGAAAGGGTAATATTGGAAGCAAAAATGTTGAGAAAGTTATAATCCAATGGGACTGGTCTTGGATGTTGTAACAACGAAGGATTTAGTTGGCAAAGAAAGTAGAGAGCCAGGTGCTGAAGTCATTAATGAATTAGGTGAGTTAAGATTTGAAAACAGTAATGGGTATGTTGGGTGGGCAACTACTCTCACTTCTTGGTCCTGAGTTACAAGGGACTGTGGGGATAAAATGGCTATAGAAACATACATATAGGTATTATTAGTCAGGGGGCACTGTGGTTCAGACATGAAAATAAAAAGTTCAAAAAAGAAAGGCTGGTGATCAGAGGAATTTACTGGTAGTAGACCATGAGTACAAGAGAGGACATAGAAACTACTAGTAAGGTGGAAAATTAGATCAGATTAATACATGTACATAATTGTGTGAGATTAAAGGTCTGATCATTATAGCATGGTGACATAGGCAAATATGTTGTGAGGTACGATGGCACTGATTTTGATTTTCATAATCTGTTGGAGGAGTTGGGTTCAAGTTGGAGATTATGGGGATACTGGGAAAATTCCTGAGGCTCCTAGTAATGTGGTAGTCAAGTGGTGAGCAGTAGCCCTCTTGGTGGGCACAAGAGAAGAAAGCAGTATCTTTTCTTCTAAGCTAGTCTAAGCCCAAGGCACTGAACAAACAAGCTGTCTTACCTGGAGCTGCCTTTTCTCCGATCTGTGTGGTGTTTTAGTAACTCACAGGCTTTGTTGGTCACTCCCCTGAGGTGTTACGAGGACTAAATGAGAAATTACATTTAACATGCTTTTCATTTTGACACTTAAGGGCCCAGAAATATTAGCTATTGCCAAAATGAAGAAAAACAACTTGACTTAACTTCTGACACAGACAATTGATTATTAGTGTTAGATATGGAGGAAAACAGATAATACAGTTTATTGTTTAAGAACATTGGCTTTTTGAAGTTAGACAAGCCCAGTTTGGAACATTTACTTGAACACTCAGCTTGCTATAGGGTCTTGAGCATGTTTCTTAACATTGGTTCTCAACCGTGGCTGCTGATCAAAATCACTCACTGGAGTTTTTAAAAATACAGATGGGCTGGGCACAGTGACTCACTCCTGTAATCCCAGCACTATGGGAGGCCAAGGCAGGTGGATCACCTGAGGTCAGGAGTTTGAGACCAGCCTGGCCAACATGGCGAAACCCCACTTCTACTAAAAATACAAAAATTAGCTGGGTATAGTGGTGCACCCCTGTGATCCTAGCTACCCAGGAAGCTGAGGCAAGAGAATCGCTTGAACCCAGGAGGCAGAGGTTGCAGTGAGCCAAGATTGCCCCATTGCACTCCAGGCTGGGTGACAACAGTGACACTCTGTCTCAAAAAACAAAAAATACAGATGATTCAGATTCACTCTCAAAGTTTCTTAAGTAGGACTGGGGTTGAGCCTCAGTTTCCTTCATGATACCTAATAAAGTTGTTAATGAATGTCAAAATAGTTAATGTTTCTAGTTTCCACTGTACCAGGCACATGGTAAGTACATGATTAAATTAAATGGGAGTTTGTTTTTATTTTGGAAACAGAATCTTGTTCTGTCTCCAGGCTGGAGTGCAGTGGCACAATCTTGGCTCACTGCAATCTCTGCCTCCTGGGTTCAAGGGATTCTCCTGCTTCAGCCTCCTGAGTAGCTAGGACTACAGGCGCACACCACCATGCCTGGCTATTTTTTTGTATTTTTAGTAGAGGTGGGGTTTCCTCATATTGGCCAGGCTGATCTCAAAGTCCTGGCCTCAAGTGATCTACCCTCCTCAGTGGCCTCCCTGGCTAATTTTTTGTATTTTTAGTAGAGATGGGATTTCATCATGTTGGCTAGGCGGGTCTCGAACTCCTAACCTTAAGTGATCCGCCCACCTCGGCAACCTCCCATAGTGTTGGGGTTACAGGCATGAGCCACCATACCTGGCCTCAGGTTAGTTTTATAAAGTTATAATAAATACTTTTCAAAAGATGGCCAATTGAATGTATAGGTCTCAGCAACTGAACTTTCCTGATAAGTATTCAGAAATATTTTTTATAGCTGCACAAATACCCCATCATTCTGGTAGAGACTTACTTAAACATTTATTAAGAAGCTACTAAATTTGGATTGCTAAAGTCTGCAGGATATACAAAGATGAATACAATAAATCTAGTACAGGTTTAGGCAGGTGCAGTCAGGGTGTAATGGAGAGAACCCTGATTAAGATATATAGGAATAGGCTGATTGGTGGCTCATGCCTGTAATCCAACAGGACAAGACAAGAGAATCCCTTGAGCCCAGGAGTTAGAGGTTGCAATGAGCCGTGATTGTGCCACTGCACTCCAGGCTCAGCAGCAGAGTGAGATCTTGTCTCCAGCAAAAACATGTAGGAATAAATGGGTTGCTCCCAGCTGTGTGGAAATCTTTTATTCCCTGGAGGAAGAAAATGAAGCACTGAGATATATAAGAGAATCTGTATTAAATTATCTCCAAGGTCCATATTACATTTTCATGTATGCTAGACTCTAAAAAGAAGCTAGGTTTTATTCATATACTCAAAATGTAGTGAAAACTCAATGTAATTTTACTACAGCTCATTTTGAGACAGCTTACTTCTTCAGATTAGACTCACTTTCAGCTGTTTTCTAGAAAATATGCGTAAGTTACTACTGCTGTCTTGGACCTTATGCCAAATTTTACTCTTAAAAAATTCTTACTTGACTAGCACGAGTTAGTAGAGTTTTATGAGCTCCTTGAAGGCAGGACCTTGTACTCTTTTTTTTTTTTGAATTTCCAAAACCTCTAATTAACTGGTTGCATATAACAATCACTCAACAAATGTTACTTGAATTGAATTTAAACCTATCTACCCTGTTATTTGTACAACTTACTCTAATTTTAAGGTCATTTTTCCATTTGAAACCCTATTTAAATATAAACAAAGGAAAAGGTAGAAAGAACCTACATATTTAATTATACAAGACTACTACCTACCAAATTGGAACCAAAAAGCTTCAGAATAATCAAATGTTGAATGGATATGGAAGTTTTCTATTTAAAAAAATTTTTGGTCAAACAAACATAAATAACATAAAATACGCCATTTTGACCATTTTTTAAGTATACAGTTTGGTCCTTTCACAGTGTTGTGCAATCATCACCCCTATTTCCAAAATTGTGTATCATTCCAGACAGAAACTCTAACCATTAAGCAGTAACTCCTCACTTCCTGCTTCCTCCTCCACCAAATCCCTGCTAACGTCTCATCTGCTTTCTGTCTCTCTGAATTTGCATATTCTAGATATTTTATGTAAGTAGAATCATAAAATATTTGTTCTTTCATATCTGTCTTATTTCATGTAGCATAATGTTTTTGAAGTTCATCATGTAGCAGCATATATCAAGACTAATTCCTTTTATGACTGAAGGGAGCTGTTTTTATTTGGACAAGGTTGGCTCCTTTCTTCCTGTTCTAGCAAGTAAGACAGACACATTTTTTAAACTCCAAAAGGTCTTAGGTGTGTGTTGTCACATCAAAGATACTGGCTTGGTATGTAACTAGGTGTTTGAGATGTTACATCACTAAACATTGTTTTCATGGCATCATGCCAAAATACTTAAAGAGGAAGTAGGAAGTACAGATGACATTCCATTGCCTCTGTCAACTTCCTGTGATGAAGGATGTGTGAGTATCTGGGAAGAAAACAACCAAGGTATCTAAATAATGGGTGGCGGCTTATTATCATAGGGCAGGACCCGACGTGAACATTGGATATTATAGACTGCTGTATTAGGGGACATTACTGGTTTACTGCAGAAATGTATTCCCTTTTCTTCTCCTTTCCATTAAGGTTTTTTTTTTGTTTGTTTGTTTTGTTTTTTAATTTTAGGCTTAAAACTTAACAAGGAAAAGTGTTTTATGAAGACATTGTAAAACTAAGCTTTACTTGTAATTTAATTTTTACCAGGTTCTTCATTAGAAGCTGTAACCACCTGTGAACTATGTAAAGAGAAGTTGGAGCTTAACCTGGAGGATTTTGATATCCATGAACTACATAGAGCTCATGCAAATGAACAAGTTAGTATATTTTGCCTAATTTGGTAAGTGTCTATTCTATGCTTCAAGGACAGCTCTTGAAGAAAAGATTAAATCATGGTCAGAAACCTTGCATTAAAATAATAATAACAATGATAATGTTCTTAACATAATACTATTACTTCATTAGGTGTTAGAATTTCATAATTTTTTTTTCCCTTAAGCTTAGGAAAGTTGTTCCAAAATAGGGATGCCAACCTTATTTCCCCACAACCATAAGTTTTTTGAGGTGCATGAATGATACAGTTAGAATGAAGAGCTCAATATTTTCCCCCATTTTCTTTACTGAAGGAAAATTTAGGAGGTGGGCAGATGTGTGCTTAAGATTACAAGAGTGACTCTAGAGCCAAATTGTTTAAGTGTGGTTAGCATATTTGTTGAAAAAAAAAGATACAATGGAAAGGGAGTGCATGAAGTGCTTGAAAAACACTTTTTGGCCAGGTACAGTGGCTCACTCCTATCCCGAGCACTTTGGGAGGCTAAAACAGGATGATTGTTTGAGGCCAGGAGTTCAAGACCAGCCCCGGCAACATAGCAAGACCCCGTCTCTACAAAACAAAAACACTTTTTAAATGTAGGGGTAATGGGCCTACTCTCTTTTATTATATTGAATGAGATTTACAAAACATAAAAACCATTTTGTACAGCTGCCATCTCTGTTTAGTTCAACATTTTCATCACTCCAAAAGAAAACCCTCTACCCATTAAACAGTTGCTCCCCATTCTGTCCTCTCAGCCCCTGGCAACTACCAGTCTGTGTTGTTTTATAGATTTATTTACCCTGGATAATTTCATACAAATAGAATCATACATTAATATATGATATTTTCTGAACCACGTTTTTTAAATAGGGGAATAATGGATACCCTTTGAAAATCTGATTAAAACTATGTACCCTTCTTTAAAAATATATAGACACAAATTATGTCTACAATTTAAGGGGTTCCCAGATCCCTTGAAGCTAATCGCTTGAATCCAGATTAAGAATCACTAATCTAAAGAATGAAACATTAAGTAGTTGATATAGCATAGGTGCTACTCTAATGCCAGTTAGGTTGTTTTATTCTCCAATGCACTAGTTGTCCAAAAAGAAAATCACTTTCAGCAAGGAAATGTTTTAAATCCCCAAGGAGTTCTGTGTAGCTAGCTGAGCATTGATACTTAAAAAACAGAGGAATCATGGAAAAGTGGAATCATGCAGAAATAAATATATGATTTTTCAAAATGAGAGTAGGTTTCAAAAGGATTATTTCTTCTGCTACCTTCCTTCTCGAGATGCTTCATCCTGTCTCTCAGAGGCAGTTCTTTCTTTCTTTGTTTCCTTCTTTTCTTTTCTTTTCTTTTTTTTTTTTTTTTTTTT